TTGTAATCAAGGAAATTCAAATCAAAACCACAATGAGATATTATCTTACACAGGTGAGAAGAGCCCATATTAAAAAAAAAAAAAAAACTAGCAAAAACAAATGTTGGCGAGGATGTGGAGAAAAAGGAACTCTACTACACTGGTGGTGGGAGAGCAAACTGGTGCAACCACTATGGAAAGCTGTGTGGAGGTATCTCAATCTGCTAAAAATGGAGCTTCCATATGATCCAGCAATTCCACTCCTAGGGATCTACCCAAAGGACACAAAAACATTAATTCAAAAGGACACCTGCACCCCAGTGTTTATTGCAGCACTATTTACAATAGGTGAGTTAGGGAAACAACCCAAATGCCCCAAAATAGATGACTGGATCAAGAAGATGTGGTATATATACAAAATGGAGTATTACTCTGCAATCAAAAAAGATAAACCATGCCATTTGCAGCAACATGGATGGAGCTGGAAGGGATCATGCTCAGTGAAATAAGCCAGAAGGAAAAAGAAAAATATTGTATGGTCTCACTTATAGCAGGAATGTAAAGGATCCAAATAAAGGATCAGGAAAAAATCTAATTATAATAAAGTAATAACCAAAATCAACAGGCAACTATAAATCAGAGATATACTACGGGGGGGAGAAAGGAGTAGGATCAAAACAAGGGTGGGAAGAGCATGAGGGACCATGGTGATAGTTCATGGTGAATGGGTGGTGGGAATTGTATGGGGACTATAACCAAGATGAAAATGCATACATTGTACAAAAATGAAAAATGATGTAAAAAATATATAAATAATTAAAATTTTTTTAAAAAGTGAAAAAAATAAAGAAAAAAATAAAGGAAAAAAACTTTCCTTTTTCTTAAAAGTTATTCCTAGGAATATATAGTCCTTTTAGAAATTTAGTAAATAAAAGAAACTTATGGTGATGAAAACCGACACATTTGCAGAGTTGGGGGGCATGGGAGAAATGAGTGAAGAAGACCAAGGGTATAAACTTCCAGTCATAAAATAATTAAATCATGGGGATACAAGATATAGCAAGGCATTAATTAATAATACTGAAAGCATATTTGAAAGTTGTCAAGAGAGTAGATCTTAAAAATTCTTATTACAAGAAAAAATTGTCCATAACTGTGTATGAAGACAGATGTGAACTAGACTTATTGTAGTGATCATTTTACGCTATATAGAAATACCATCAGGGAGGCCCTATTCAAGAACATTTTTAAGACTAAATCATATTCCAGCTTATGAAGGCACTAGAATTTATAAGCCATACGCAATTTGGGGCATTTGAAATGTTTCAAAATTGTAGCCCATTATATGGTGAAAGAAGACACTAGGACATAAAATGCGATTCACTTTTCTGATCATTTCCTAAGAATACATTCCTAGAAAAAACTTAATGGGTCAAAAGATATAACATCATATTTCATAGTTTCTTCTTGCTGCCTCGGCAGACTGCCATGAATTTACACAGGCTCAGTGGAGGACCGTAAAGGCTTGTGGTCTCACAAGCCTCAAATCAAAGTGTTTGTGACCTGGACTCCTATTTAGAGGCTCATCTTACTTGGTAGGATTCATTTTCTTCTCACTGTTCCCATGTGCCCCTCTCCATCTTCAAGACAGCAATGGCAATTTGAGTCCCCATCACTCTTTGACTCTTTATGATTTCAAGTGTGAAAGTGGTTTGATTTCAGGGACTCTGTGATTAGACTATTCAGGATACTCTACTCTCCGTACTACAAGCTCAATTATATCAGTCTCACTTGCCATGTAAAGTGACAGATTTTCAGGTGCCAGGGATGAGGTGTAAATACTGGGAGCCATTGGACCCACTACAAACATTCTAAAGGATTTTTTGAAAAAAAAAAATATTGTATTTATTTATACATACAAGAACTGGGGTGTAGGCCAGAGGTGTGGGGCATGGGGGGTGAGAGGATTCACCAGAGAGAGAGAGTGGGAAGCAGAACAGGCAGATTGAGTGAAATCCACTGCTGAGGGGAGCAGAGGGTGAGACAAGAGAGGTCCACTTTGCCATGTGGGTCAGCTCCCTGGTTGGGTATTGAACTCATTATGCAGTGGCTATTGATAGCATTATAGTGCTGAAACTTAACCCCTTGCAACACCAGGGAGGCCCATTTTATTTTTATTTATTTATTTATTTATTTGAATTTTTAAAAAAGATTTATTTATTTATTTATACAAGCACTGGGTACAGTCAGAAGCGCGGGAGGGTGAGAGAATTCACCAGAGCCAGAGCCGGGAGCGGGGAGCAAAGCAGGCAGAGGGACCGAAGTACACTGCTGAGGGGAGCAGCGGGCGGCAGGAGAGGACTGCACGCCATGTGGGACCCTCCTCTGGTGGCCGGGGAGCAGCCGGGGATCGAAGAGGCACTGCAGAGGCTGTGGGCAGCTTCGCAACCCAGCACTCAACCGCTGCGCCACGGGGGAGGCCCGGGAGGCCCATTTTAAAGGAGCTTTGTAAGTGTTACCAGATCACTTTGCAGATGAACTGACCCAGATTACTGCTACCAGCATGGAGAGTGCTCAATGCCACTCAGTGACCAGCATGAAATATTATCTTTACCAATCTGATAGACAAAGCCAATTGTATTTACTTGTGCTTTTACTTGCATGCCTTTATTTATAATGTAGTCAAACTACTATAAACATTCATCAGTCATTCATTTTTCTACTGTGACTTTTTGAAATTTAATTCTTTCTATTTCCCTATTGATTTATATTGTCTCTGTGTATGAAGGCTACTTGGTCTATATTTTGTAGTAGCTAGTTTTTAAAAAGTTTCTTCTTTAACACAGAAGATTACATTTCACTGTTGCATTGTGGTATTGTGTTCACTGTTGCCTTGGTGATTTATTCCATTATGTTTTATTTTTACTTTCTTAAAATGTCTACTGCTTGTTTTAGTTTTCATATCGAGTTTTTTCATTTTAGTGTGTTTTGTGAAGAAAGACTTTAAAGTATTGTCTTTTATTTTTATTATTTAGGTTCCTCAACACTGTCTCTTGAATGATTGTACAAAATTATACTGGAAAAAGGATGATCAAAGGGTCCAGGATATAGAAGCAAGGTTGCTTCCGCAAGTGAAGAAAAATCCAGAATCATGAGAAAATGACAACTTGCAAATTTCTGCTGGTAGACATACTTTATACAGCTCTAGTCTGCTACCTTACCTGCTGGTTATGTTTTAAAAGTGAGATGAATGATGATTACATGTAGTGAAAAGGGGCTCTTGATGTCCTGGGCCTGTCTAGGTTGCGCTCAGTTTCTTAGCCAAAAGTAGAAAAAGTTATTTTTATTCTAAAATACATATAAAACAAGAAGTAGATTAACATAGATGAAATAAAGCTAACTACAAGACCCAAAAAAATAAAAATAAAAACCCAAAATGAAAAAAGACAGAAGGCTCAAACTCTATGGAAAACAGTATGGAGGATTCTCAAAATATTTAAAAGATCTTACACATGAGCCAGCAGTTCCACTTCTACGTATCTACCTGAAGATGGTACTAAACACCAATCAGAACAGGCATACTAAGTTCACTGTTGTAGTATTTACAGTAGCCACAACATGGAAAAAATCTAAGTGTCTAATGACAATGACTGGCAAATAAAGTATATAAACACAATGAAATACTATTTAGCTGTAAAAAGAAAAAATGAAATCTTGCCATTTGCATCAGCATGGATGGAACTGGATGGGTTATGCTTAGTGAAATTAATCAGAAGGAGAACGACAAATACTAGATAATATCACTCATTTAAGGAACATAAAGAAACAAAGCAAAGGAACAAACAAAACCAAACTGAAACCAAACCTTGGGTTCAGAACTGAAGTTACCAGAGGCTGGGGGGTGTTTTGGAGCAAAGAGTGGATGGGGCCCAATGGGCTGTGGTGGAGGGTTATTGGTACTTTGGTGCTAGTCAAGGTATGGCAACACATATGGAAGAGGAATGAATCTGCACCCATAAAGCATATACAGTATTATAAAACCAGTAGTACCTCAAAAAACAAACAAACAAAAAGAAATTAAAAGGAAGAAAGGCTCTTGCAAATTTGAAAGTCTACACATTAATTATAATACTACTCCAATTAATCTTGTCCTAGTAAGACATGTGTTGCAAAGCTTCAAGCTATTAAGATCTGTCCCAGAAAAATGTAAGACAGATAAATATAAATGGAATTAAGACAACTTTAGGAAAATGAGCAGGCATGTCACAGTACGAGAAAATATATTTGTTATTTGATAACAGACATGTATATAGAACATATAAAACACTCTAATAAATCCACAATAAAAAGACAAACAGCACAATTTTAAAAATTGGCAAAAGGTTTGAATTGGCACCTCACAAAAGGAGACATATGAATGGCCAGTAAATGCACAAAAAGTTCCCAACACAGCCATTGGGAAAAAGGAGAAGACAATCACAATGGGATACTTTTGGTTTGTTGGAAATGTCATGATACATTTTTCAACTGTTTTCAACATAGACAACCCAAGATTATTTCTCACCCACTCAAAAGGCTGCTTATAAACAGCAAAAAATAATGCCAAATGTTGGCAAGAATATGTAGCATCTTATATATAAAATGTGGATTATATATATATATATATATTCTACTGAAAATGAAAATGGTAGAACAAAATTTACCCTATCCTCACCCCTCCCCGGTGTTTCCCCTTCTTCCAAATCTTCTGTGTCTTTACTCTTCTCATGTTTCTTCTGTTCCCTCATTTCACATCCTAAATGAATTCCCCCTAACTAGATATAAAGAAATTCATTTATATGTGATGCCATAAAATAAAAATGATTCCAGGTTAGCTATTTACTTTTGTCAAAATAAGATGGCAGCTATTTTTTTTACAGCTATAGTTGTTAATGTCAAGATTAACAATGAAGATGGAACACAGACTGATAATAAGAAAGACAATATTTAGATTTAAAATCTTGTGTCACATATAAATAATTATAGCCTTCTTTAACACATCAGAGTCATTTGAAAAGTTCATTTATTATATACCAATATACACTTTCTGTAATAAAAAAGCTTCCCAATACATTGAGCCATCTTATAAATGAAATAAGAAAATAAAATTTTCATCTGTTTACAAATGGGGTTAAATTAACCAGCATAAGATACCATATGTACGTCTGCCCTGCAGTCTATGAGAACTCCAATCCTGAAAATGGCATGAGAAAAAAAGTGGTGCTTTTATTATTTGGCACACTAGCATTGCTTTAGAATATTGATATAATTACACATGTTGATATTTTCAAGTCAGTCATTCCAAAGGTAAGAGGCACTGAAAATATATACATATTTTACCATTTTCTGATTTTTTGATTATTATTTGATATTTACAGTTAAATACATTCAGGTGATACATTTTTCAACACTCAGAAAGTACCTTTGCCACTTTCTATCTTGATACACTCTTTAGATGAATGAAAATGAAAAAAATATCTTACAGATACTCTACGGCAATTTTTTTCCCAAAAATAGTAACTGAAAAGTTATGTAGTTTCTAGTAATGCTCAATTTCCAGAACAAAGTGTACCATTTTACAGCATGATGCCTCTATAAAATAATAACAAAACAAATATATATTAAGGCACAGAAAAACTATTGAAATATGATTTAATATTATCATACTGATACATTTGTATTTCATAGTTTTGCTAAAATATAAAATATACAACAAATGTTGTTGCTACTGATTTGAAAAAAAAAAGTAGCAAAGTCCAGAAATTCTAGACAGCAAGTACTAATTTTCAAAACCACTTCATATAAGTGGACAAGAAGGATAGTTTGTATTCTCTGTAGTGTTAGCACTTTTATTTTTATAGGAACCACTGAATATTGTATTAAATGGCACATGAAGGTCAGCCTACCCTTGAGCAAGTTCAAGTAAACTAAATCCTATAGTTTTTAATTTAAACATGCTAAATTAAAAGAATAACTGTAGTGTTGCTAATTATTTGCAAATAAGGGACTTATTTTCTTGTTGATGACTATATTACTGTAAACATTGGAGAAGAGCATTACTGAAGTATATATAACTTAGGGTTTAAATTTAAAATATCCTTACTAGACAGCTCCATACAGATGAATTTCTTAGCACAGCAACTTAATTCCCTGCCCCCTCCCCCAATAATATAAGTGTTTTGACTGTGAAGAGAGAAAACTACACATGTAAAAAATAAAAATCATGTACCATACTTTAAAATTCTGATGACTATAGAATAAGGATATATACATAAACATATAGTATATCACAGTTTCCTGCACTGAATGTTTATCAAATAAAAATGTATCAAACAATACTGGGTAGTGTATCTCCACATAAGCTGTGGTCTTCTAAAAATTCTGAATGAGAATGGAAGACGAGAGGGAGAGCATTGTTCCATGACAGAAGTCTGAGGAGAGCAATAAGAATAACATTAAAAAGCAAATGCTTCCAGAACAGGTGGTTTAGCTCTACGCATTCATTTTGTTATTGCTCTACAGTTTCAATAAAGCCCCTCTCTGTGGTTGGTAAGATATTTTAACATTTACAGAAACAAATCTTTTGAAGGAAGAAATCACTAATTCAACGTCACAAACAAGATGGGCAAAATATTCCTTTACTGGTAACAATAAAACTCTCTCGCCTGGTGTCTTATCACTCACGCACCTTTCAGGGACAGTTCACAGACCTGTCTTTGTCTGTATTAAATATACCCAGAGTATTTGGTGTAAGACTGGAGGAGGGCATTAAGAGGTGATTGCTTTGCCACCAGCACATTTTTGTTTGATGTCCTGAGAATACAGCTATTTGGTACTTTGGGGTGGGGGGAGGAAAGGAGAAGATGAACAGTTTTACCTGATGACCTTACATGCAGCTACCCTTATTCTGCTTGTACGACAGCAAAAATACATCATCAACTGCTCTCGTAAAACCTGGGTAGAAATGTGCACCACAGATTTTAAACATGAGAACAGCCATACTTGACAAAAGCAATTTTCTTTTCCGCAGATGCCTGGTGATGTAAACAGATTTTAAAAAGATGCTAGTAAGCATCTTTGGAATCTTCCTGTTATCTCCTATGAATAACATTCCAATCAATCACTCATTCCAATAATGCAAAAGTCTTTTGGAGCATAACTTGCAACCATTTCCAATAGAAAAAGAAAGTACTTTTCCTTGGGTTAGTGATGCTTGGTGTTAGGGGGATCGTAAATCCAGTCAATTATAATAAGCCCCATGCTTCCGATCATGAAGATGATCCCAACCACAAGGAAAATCAAAGCCTGTAATTCAGAAAAAACTTGTTAGGAAACACAGAAGCCACATTTACTTGCATGCTTTGCTTTTATACGTTGCTTACCTAATCTGCAACAATCTTATTTGCATATTGAATGTTATTATTCTTACAGTTGTGATGTCCAGGTCTAACAATCCAGTCAGTTAGAACCCTAGCTGGGAAGGGGGAATACACTAGAGAGATGTAATCCAAATGTTCAGGAATTGAGTAATGGTTAATTGACTGTACATCAAAATGATAAACTACCCTATTATCACTTAAAATCAAGTGATAGACTGATAGCAAAGATCTACAAACAACTAATATAACTCAACAAAAATAAAGCAAACAACCAAGTCAAAAAAATGGGCATAAGAACTAAAAAGACATTTCTCCAAAGAAGAAATGAAAACGGCCAATAAGCATATGAAAATATGTTCAATATCACTAGGTATCAGGGAAATGCAAATCAAAACCACAGTGAGATACCACCTCACTCCAGTAAAAATGGCCCACATTAAAAAAACTGGAAACAACAAATACTCAGAGGACATGGAAATAAAGGAACCCTCTTACATTCCTGGCGGGAATGTAAACTGATCCAGCCACCACAGAAAGCTATATGGAGGATCCTCAGAACACTAAAAATGGATCTACCATAAGACTCAGTGATTTCACTCATAAGAATCTTTCCAAAGGACACAAAAACACTAATTTGAAAGGAAACCTGCACTCCTGTGTTTATTGCAGTACTATTTACAATGGCCAAGATATGGAAATAATCTAAATGCCCAACATAAATGATTGAATCAAAAAGTTGTGGTCTATATACACAATGGAATATTACTCAGTAATCAAAAAGGAAACACTCAGGCCATTTGAAGCAACATAGATGAGCTGGAAGGGATGATGCTCAATGAAATAAGTCAGAAGGAAAAAGAAAAATACTGGATAGTCTCACTTACATGAGGAATATAGGGGAACCAAACACAAGGTCAAGAAAAACACTGACCATAAGACTGAGGCATACAGCAAAGGAGGAGAAGACAGGAGGGTCAAAACAGGGAGGGAGGAACACAAGGGAATATGGTGATGGTTCATAGGTGATGAGGTGGAGGGAGAACTATGGGTACTATAATGAAAAAAACATTTGATTAATTAATAAAAATAATTAATTAAAAATTAAATTAAATAAAATGTTAGATTTAATTACCATGGGGATACAGTTATCTTCAAGGTGACAAAGGGCATGCCATATATATGATAAAATTTTATAAAGCAAATTAAAGCAAAAATTTAATATATATTGCACATTACTTGAAGAAAATCAAAGCACATATATGTGTGCACGCGTGTGTATATATAAATGTATATACACACCCACAAAATAAATCTCAAAGTTTGAAACTAGAAAGGGTCTTACGTATTCCCAGACAGAGCAACTTTAATTCCATTTTGAGGAAGCAGCACTTAAGCCTTTTTTCACTAGATAACATGTTGGAAATAATTTTACTCATTTTCACATCTGATCAAACAGAAAATGGGTTACAAACAAGACAAGTAATTTGCCAAGGTCACAATGCTGTAAAAGTCCAAGCAAGGTAAACTACATAAAAAAGTTTGGGGGCAAAAGGATAGGAAGAATTTTGAGAGCAAATTGTCCTGAAGCCCCTCAATAATCCTAAGAGTGAATGGTTGTCAGGTAAAAATGCAGGGTCACTCAGCAGCTTTCTTGTCAAGCCTTAATATAAGGCTATATTAGCAATCACTGATAATATTTAATTATCAGAAAAACTAGTGTATGGTTCCGTGGAAACAAGACACAATATAGTTGAACAATGTATGTTTTATATCCAAAGAGAGTAACTGGAAAATGAAGGATTCTGTTCTGGTTCTCGCTCCACCCCAGGGGACAAGATACCATGGAGAGTAAATCACAAGTCCCACCTTTTCTTTCAGCCTTGCAAAACCAATATGACCAAAATGTTTATATTGCTTCACCACAGGGGCCCTAATTTGCTCCTGCATAATTAGTCACAGACAATGCATATACACCTGGAGGAAAACTATTAGGGTTTGGTAGGTGTGAAGGACTCAATGCAAGCTACTTGATATTTGAAGACAAGAAATTCTAAAATCATTTGAGTGTCCCAAACCTACCCCTACCCCTTTCTTTCCATCAGAGAGTTCCATCCACCTTTGACTTTTAGTTGTTGCTCATCAACTCATTTTTTTTTTTAACTATGTGGAAAAGCAATGGTAAGTTTTACTTACCCCGACCTTTTGGGGTGACCTAAGAGATTCTTTCTTGACAAGTTTAAGATAAAAAGCTGCTGGAAGAATGAAAATCAGCATAGTGGCAGAAGAAGCCCCTGAGAAGAGAAACATGGCACAGGCACAGTTAGACCTCAGAGAAACAGGCACAGAGAAACAGGCACAGTTAGACCTCACAGAGCAGGTCTAACTCAGCAAGGCAGAGACCTAGGCCTTGCACTTTAAAGAAGCCAAATACAAAGTTACCTTATTCTTAGCACTACCAGTATGGTAGCTACTTACTCACAGAAGATATTTATAAAGAACATTAAAAAGTGCCCAATATCATGCCTTCATATTAAGTTTACATAACATAAACATCAATTAATACAGAACATAAATTAAGAGGCTGAGCATTACAAATATACAGGAAATAATATACCTGCATACTCAGAAGGCTGAACTCATCACACACCTTTCCCATCCACTTCTCACTTTTTCAAGTTTTATATTGTGTTTAAAGTCTGAGTAACCTCTCAGACTTTAAGTCTTTCTACGTAATACCTGAGAAATTAAAATTATCAGCAGGCCCTACTGTTAAGGGAAATAATATGCTTTACAAAATCAACTTTCTTCTCCTACAAAGATACCTTTTAGTGCTCAGTCAATGCACTTAGACCAGAGAGAACATTCTATGGATAAAAATCTATGCTCTTCACTTTTTTTATATATATGCAGAATTAAGCTCTAAGGCCAAGTCCTGGATCCATTTCAAGGTAGAAGCCTTGATTTTTATAGGGCTCTATTTTCTCATTGGTCAGAAAGGCAGCTCGACTGGATGACAGGGGTCTGTGATCTTGAATCAGATTCCGGATCCTGGAGCCCCCTGCCTGATGGCCTGCCCACCCCTGAAGGAGGTATCAGTTTGAGTTGACCCAATGAAAGGAATCTGGAACTCACCTATAAATCCAAAGATGTATTTTATGGTTGGCACAAGGATGACCAAAACATTATTAACTGCGATGAGTATGGCTGCGATTAGAAAATGTCTTATCCAACTGAAGGGTCTTTTGGGGAATAACAGTGTGATCACGGACGTGCGAATCTGCAACAAGAATTCAAAGGGATGGCCACTATGTTTTTTATTTTATTTATTATTTCAAATATTCTCAGGGATCTAAAGCATTTAGCTTCTGTTTTTTCTTTTTCTCCCAGAAAAGATCTTAATCCTGAATTTTAAAAATATGCATTGTGGGGGCCTCCTGGTGGCCTAAGGGTTGAGTCTCAGTGATAACACCCATGAGGCCTGAGTTCGATCCCCAGCCAGGGAGATGACCCACATGGTGCAGCAGACCTCTCCTATCCCTGCTGCTCCCCTCAGCAGTGTAGTTCAATCAATCTGTTCGTTCTGCTCGCCACTCTGTCTCTGGTGAATCCTCTCACCCCCTCGCATGTCTGGCCTGTGCCCCAGTTCTTCTATACATAAATAAATAAATCTTAAAAATAAAGCACATTGTGGTAAAATTCACATAACGTGAAATTCACCATCTTAATCATGCATCGATGTAGCTCAGTGCCAGAATGAAAATTAAAATGAGTGAGTTATTCACTCAATAAATACTCTTTGGGTACAAAGGTACAAATGATTATCTAAGCAAGTAATCTGAAGAGAATGAAGTAAATACTGGGTCAATGAACATATTTTTAACATAAAAAAAGTACAGTTCAGGGGTACTAAGTGAATCCAGACTGCTCTCTTGGTACTCGTTTTTGGTGTTTGTGAGAGACAGTTATCCTTGATGATATATCTGGTGTTCAAATTGTCAGCTGTCAATTTTTTTTTCTTAAAAATAATCTCACAGAAAGAGAAGACAACTGATAAGATTAAAATCACCACTAAAAATCTTCATTCATTATTTTTATAGAAAATAATGTATGTGTAATTCAGAGACACCATGAAAGCCTGACTGTTTTGGGGAGACTGGATTATGTATTAAGGGCAGGCACTGAAATGATCTGGATATGATAATGAACAGAGTTTTTTTATGAACTGGGATTTTTCATAACTTTGTACTTTTTTAACATTTTGCCACTGATAATTTAAAAAATGTGATACTTCCTATTGTTTATTCCATTCTCTTTTTCCCTTTTCCCTTCCCTCACACGTAGGTAATAAATGCACAAAAACAGCAAGAAACAAAAGCTCATAAGCTTAACATTCCTCAGTTTCTGGCTTATCTCTTGCACACACCAGGCACTTAATAAATGCTGAATTAAATTCAACAGAACAAGACTTTTCCCTTCCTTCTGGATCCCTGACAAATTTCAGTCCTATTTCAGGGACTGAAATAAGTGGGTGAAGGGTCAAGAGAGGCTCCATTTGCAGCTGCTGCTCAAGTTACTCTGCTGTAACCTGATAAACCATCCTCCTAGGTAGAGGGAGGGGTGCGTTTTCTGTGTGAGCAGTTTAACAAAGCTGAAAATGCTCTTGTTGCTGGAATCTTTTAGAGGACACTTTTAAACTAGAGGAATTCGTCTATTGGCTTTTCAATAAGTGAACACTTCAGTTAAGCTGAGACTACATTTTTGAAAGGTTGGGATTGATTTTCCCTTAAAATTTCACTTCTGAAGTCTATGGGTGGTGTGGAGTTGGGAACTCCCTTAAAAGAGAGAAAGGCAAAATACATTGTGAGGCACATGTATGGTTGACAAAAACTTTGAGCTCAATTGCTTGCAGTTTCTAATGTGACATTCCTTTCATACCACTCCACCAAAAATTAAAGCCATCTGTTTGGTTTAAAAGGCAATTTCATAGAAAGTCTCTGGAAATGGTTGAAGAGCGACCTTGTGAAAGATTGTGAAAACTGGATTAGCGAAAATTATGAAACGCACTGAAAAGTAGACTAAGGAAAGCAAATGGTTTGATTTCATTTTCCGCAGCAGTTTACAAATTCTACATCATGACCTCTAAGGAGTGAATAGTCAGTATCATCAAACTTGTCTCATCAGTAGGCTTAAAATCAGACTTCTAGGCTACAACATAAGAACTTATATTGATGTATCCAAATGGGCTACATTTATAGAACAAACAAGTAGAAAATAGGTTAATTTCTGGCAAAGGTAACATCTGTATTCTTTTCAGTCCTTTATTAAAATAATGTTTGGTATTTAATTTGACGAGTTAGAAGGGCTACTGTATGTTCAGGGTCTCTCAAGGTAAATGTAATTAACTGAGGTCTCGTTCTACGGGTATAAAATGCAGAAAAATAACAGGGATGATGGCTGGGGTAAATGGTGAATACCTCCTGCTCATAGCAGAATCCACAGTGAGCTGCAGGCTCATGAGCTGCCAACTTGTACATGAAGAGAACATGAGGCAAACAGGAGATGGAGGAGGGGGGAAGGCGGAGGGCAGGAGGGGCTAGGCTGCTGGTGGGGGAAGTGAACAGAAGGAGACTTGTGGGCGACTCCATGTGTGATGCACCTGGGCATACCTGAGATCAAGAGGGCTAAGCCATCCTACTTACCTACGTCAGGAGAGAGGCAAGGATGGCTTGATACCACAAAGGGCAGCCTGTTGGTCTTCTTATCTATATGCCCTTTCCTCTCCTGACACAAACTGACAAGAACCTGGAAATGTGGGTGAGATACTGTGGGTGGCAGCCGTCACCACCTAAAGCCACAGCCTCTAACCCAGGATAAGTCACATGTTCTCTGTGGCTCTGGAGAAAACATCTATGATTTCCAGAGAGCACATTCTGAACAAGAACTTGTTGGGAAGCTTCTATTCTCTGATGTAGAAGCAGAGTGGAAGCTGAGACAAAGCATTAGCCCTGAACTCTAGAAAACAAAAACTGAAACCAAAATCTATTCTCCTGTTACTTAGAGAAGAAACATTTCCACTCTGTATAATTACCTAGGATGAGGTCTGGGAAACAGCTCCAGACATTACACTATACATGTCACAGCAGCCTCTGTCATATTTCTCTGCCTACATCTACATGTGCCTCAACAGGGGACCCTAGTGAGAATGGCTTTACTATCAGAAAATGAAGCAGAAGTATCTGAAGCATTTCAGGCAAGATTCTGGCAGGTAGAATTTCTGCCTGTATGTTCGGAATAGAACCATCAGGATTATTTGGTTCTGGTTTTTTTGGTGGAGATGTGTGAACTTTTTGCATGAAGATCAGCCCAAGCCAAGGAGGGAGAGTCCCATATTAGTTACCCCTACCCACATCACCCCATTCCCAGCAATAAGAGAGGGAAAAGAAATGTTGGACTTCTGGTGAAAAAGCCAGAGTCCTAATGCACTTCATTTATTCACTCATTCTTCAAACATTTCAGCCAGTTACAATGTGCCTTTTACTAAGGAGTATGTGTGCTGAATTAACTGAACTGGAGAAAAGACAGACACTAAATGGAAAAGCAGCATATCAACAAAAAACAAACAACAATCCCTTGTCATTGTTCTCTGAGTTCCAAAGAAACAGAGTCCATTCATCATTTGTTGAAAGAAGGAGAATATAAACAAAAGACCTACAGCTAATAGCTTTTAATCCAGGTTAGGTTGCATTTCCTTTATTATTTATATGTTGGAGTATCAAAGCAGGCAAATTTCTTACTGGTCTAACATTTCTTGATTCCAAGAAACCTGTCAGTAGAAGATGCTGGAACTCTGTGCTAGTCACACTGAAAATCTTGGCTCTAAATTGTGAAAAAAAAAATCTAACAAAAACACCACCACTGTCTTCTGTAGCTTTGGGGGACAGTGTCTGAATTCAGTCTGGGGCTGAGCTTGGGACCAGGAGGTTGGACTCACTTTATGACCATGGGGTCTTCTGTCATTATTCCAGAGCCTCACCTAAGCTGTAGCTCATGGCAAATCTCAGCAAGAGGACTAGCTTCTGCTTTTGCTAGAAAGGGCCATTTAACATCTCAAGAAAAGGCAGGATTAATTTGAAGAACATATTCCTTTGCAGACTTTTTTTTTTTAAGATTTAAAAAAAAATTTTATTTATGTATGCATATAAGAACTGGGGTACAGGCCAGAGGTATGCAGGGGTGAGAGGATTCCCCAGAGACAGAGTGGGGAACAGAACAGGGAGACTTGACTGAAATACACTGCTGAGGGGAGCAGCGGGCAGACAGGAGAGGTCTGCTGTGCCATGTGGGTCAGCTCCCTGGCAGGGGATGGAACTCAGGCTGCAGTGGCTGGTGATAGCTTGATAACACTGAGACTTAACCCCTATGCCATCAGGGAGGCCCATTGTGGCAGACATTCTTTTTTTTTTTTTTTAAGATTTATTTATTTATACAAGAACCGGGATACAATCAGAAGCGCGGGAGGGTGAGAGGATTCACCAGAGACAGAGCAGGGAACAGAACAGGCAGACTGATGAAATACATTGCTGGGCAAGGCAGGAGAGGTCTGCGGCGCCATGTAGGTTTCTCCCTGGCTGGCTGGGATCAAACCCACGCTGCAGAGGCTGCGGACAGCTTCGCAGTGGGGCACTCAACCGCCTGCGCCACCAGGGAGGCCCATTCTTGAGCACATTTTGTGCCAAACATAGGGCACATCCCTAACTCCCAGGGATCTATAACCTGGGCCAAGGACAGCATTTACAGAGACCACCTCAGTGGAACACAGTTTGGGCAAAGGCAGACTTAGGTACAAAATGTTTCATAAATGCTAAAATTGAGTGAAAATCTTTAATGAAGGATCATGGTTATTTTTCGAAAATTTGGTTCTAACGACTATGACTACTTTTGGTTCTAATGAGACATGTATATAAATTCTGGCTGTTTGTGATGGTCAGATTCACACCAGAGCTTTATTTGTCGCATAGGGGAAGAATTTCTAGAGGGAGATTGGAATTTTTAATGTCGAGGCAAAATGGTCATCAGTAAGTGAAAAGCTGACTTTCATGTCCTCTTAGCATGACCTCAGCCAACGACCTTGGGCTTCGAGCCCTGCGTTACGTCACTGGTACTGACCAGCAGGCGACCACAGCCATATCCGTTTATCTCCTGAGACCCAAAGCACTATATTTAGGGCTTGTGAATAAAGCAAAAGAAATGCATACAGCAGATTTCTTTTACAAAATGCTTTGATTCAATAACAATGTGAGTGCCCGCTGTGTAACAAAACTTCGTGACATTTTTATGCACTGAAAATAAAAGTACTCCAGATATTCTTTTCTCAGTGACGCTACTTGCTTGGAGGTTTTACCCTTTAATACACTTTCTGTCTCCAGCTGTCTCCTACCTTCTACACAAGATGGAGCTGATTTTAGGCTAAAGCTGTGTGCATGTCACTTGAAATACTTTCAGATATATGAGAGGCAGGACATTATTTAAGAGTAAAATAGTCACCACATAGTAATAAGGATTTGATTTCATGCACTCATGAAAAAGGAATGTGCCAAAAAGTATTTCAGCACACAAGTTGCATTTAAGGAAACCACATTATCATTTACGAGCAGCCCTGTGCCAGGCTGGGTATGGAACATTCTGTACAGGACAGTGTCATCGATTTCCCCTCTAAAGTAAGGGAGTGCACACAATGTTTACGAAAGCAGTTGAGCTGGCAGGACAGCACATTTATTTATCTACAGGTGGTGATGCTACCTCCCGCAACCCTGTGATCTCAGGATAACTGACGCCAGAGGAAAATGCCAAGAAGGGGCGACCCCAGGCCAAGGCTGACAGATGGCACATGCCAGTTTTCAAGGCCAAAAGATACACAACAGTACTATGGGTACCATAACTATTTTTCGAGAAATTTGTTTCTATTATGTTGTTTTCCTAATAAATTCCCTTCTCAATAGCATTCAAGGAACCAGATTAAATAAAGCCACTTTGGGGTGTTTCTTTAGCCCTGCAGGAAAAAGGAAGAGCTTCAAAACATAGGCAAAAATGCAATGTGATTTGAAAGTTCATGTGTTTTTGGTCTTAGCAAATATATGAACTCCTATTCATTTCTACTAATCCACAAGACAGAGGTTCAAGATCTGAATTTTGCATTTAAATTAAAAAATATATTTCAGGGCCTCCCTGGTGGCGCAAGGGGTTGAGCACAGCACTGTGAAGCTATCCGCGGCCTCCGCAGGGGGCTACCCACATGGTGCAGCAGACCTCTCCTGTCTCACCCACTGCTCCCCTCAGCAGTGCATTTCAGTAGATCTGCCTGTTCTGCTCCTCACTCTGTCTATGGTGACTCCTCTCACACACCCACACCGACCCCCACCCCCCGCCACCCTGCACCTCTGGGTACACCCCTGTTCTTGTACACATAAATAAATATTTTAAAAATGTATATATCAACATCAACAAAACTGGAAAACAAACACATAAGTAGAAGTAGGTGTTGTAATTTTTCCCCCTACACTTTAAAAAGACTTAACTTCCTAGAGACAGTTTCTACATCTATATAGCAAATGAGTTTCAGTTGTCTCCAGACGCTCCATAAAAACAACAACGTTCTTAGCATCACAGTTGCATATCCACATGATAATTAAATTCCCATCAGATCAGAACATATGCACAAGTGTCTGCGGCTAAACAGGAGCCCTCCATCAAAGCATCGTATACTTACTGGGAACAGGACGATGGGCACGGTCAGTGTCACAGCCACCAGCACCGCCAGGCGCACCATGAGGAGAGGGGTGTCGAATGTGTACACTTTGCTGTAAGCATGAAGTAACTCATCTTCAACTTCCCCTGCAGAGATGAAGAAAAGAATGAGTCCTCTGATGCTGTGAGCCAGCATGGATCACCTACAGAAACATTTCTTCTCTCTCTTTTTTCTTAAGATTTATTTATTTATTTTTGTGTAGAAGAACTGGGGTGTAGACAGATGTGCAGGGGGCAAGAGGATTCCTCAGAGACAGAGTGGGAGCAAAACAGTTGCATTGACTGAAATCCACTGCTAAGGGGAGCCGCGGGTGAGACGAGAGTTCTGCTGTGCCATGTGATTCAGCTCCCTGGCTGGGGATCGAACTCAGACCTTAGCAGTGATAGCCCTGAGACTCAACCCCTAGGCCATGAACAAAGGGGCCCCCAAGCTTATAAAGTTGCAGGTGCTAATGTAAATTTGCTAAGGCTCATTTGCATGGTGATAAATCTCTCTCTCAACATACACTGCTGCTACACGGAATCATCACAAAACCTACGACAAACCGAAGTTCTCTGGTGGACGCTCTGGACAGGTTCAAGCTCTGCTATTCTCAACCTCACATTTTGGTAGCTTCTTCCCTTGGCTTCTCCAAACCCAGCATAGAATCCCAAGGACACATGAACTCTAACACTTTTCCAGCCTCAACAATTATGACCCCATCATTGCACCAAGGGACATAATTTGGGACTTTTTCAAGTCTTTGCTTGTTTTGAGCCCGTGTTGTATTGGAGCCGGTGTAAGTGACATACATTGATGAATTTTACAGGCTCTCCCATGGAATATCAATCTAAGATTAAGACCCTGCCCTCCTGGAAAACATATTCATCCAGAGCTCCAGACACAAATGACAAGGAGACACTTGTAGAACCAGAGGTAGTTTGCCATTTCCATTACTCCCTCAAAATTAGACAAAGGAGGTAAAAGTACCTTTAATGATATTGACCTGATTTTCATTAATTCTCAACTGACAAGGAGTTAGCACCTGTGAAGTGAGGCCTTGATGATAGTCATTTATTAGCTAGACAGAGTAAAATCCAAGCTAATGGTGCCTCCCCTTCTTTCCCCACTTGTTATCAATTTATCAAGTCAATCAGAAAAAAATGCAAGTGAGAGAGATTTATATAAAAAATACATTTATACTGATAACAGTGATTAGTGCCATCATATGCAAATAGGTCATCAGTGTTTCATTCCTTGAAGTTTGTCTATAGGGTCATTTGTCATGGGAAGCGATAATAATTCTACTCCTTTGTGTCCTGTTAAAATGCCACAGAAGGACCTCCCTGGTCCTTAGGTATTAGTCTCAGCGCTATCACTGCTACGGCCTGAGTTTGGTCCCCAGCCAGGGAGCTAACCTACATGGTGCAGCAGACCTCTACTGTCTCGCTCGCTGCTCCCCTCTGCAGTGTTTCAGTAGATCCATCTGTTCTGCTCCCCACTCTATCTCTGGGAATCCTCTCACCCACTGCCCTCCACCCCCACACCTCTGGCCTACACCCTAGTTCTTCTATTGCCCAAAAAAATGCCATAGAAGAAATGTTTCAAGTATAACTTAATGTGGCCATCATCACTTTTATTTCTCCATTAGTGCATTCCCAGATTTAACAGAATTCGGTCATGCACTTCACTTTTCTTAGAAAACCACTTACTATAACAGACTAGAAGGGATGAGTCAGACATCTGCCTTATGCTCCAAATCCCCAGATTCAATGTGACCAGTAATTAAGAAGCAAATTCTAAATCAAGGACTTGGTATTTTTTCTGTCATTTCCTTGGTAGTTATTCCACCCAAATAGTTTTACAACATGCAATTGAATTCACCTCCATTGCTTCTTCCCTGAAATGGACAAGGGAGTCAAACAAGAAATATTTTTTACCCCCCGAGGAAATAAATTAAATTTGAGGGATGTGTTATATATAATGTGTGTGAATTCACAAACTGTTGTAGCCTGTTAGCCAGACTAGTTCAGGTCCCATTTTCTTAAGCCAGTGACAAGCATGTTAACTGCTTACGTGCATCTAGAGATCACACAGCTGGGTAACTATAAGAATCGTGCCTGGGCCTCGCTGGTGGCCTAGGGGTTAAGTCTCAGCATTGTCACACTATGGCCTGAGTTTGGTCCCTGGCCAGGGAGCTGACCCACATGGCGCAGCAGATCTCTCCTGTCTCACCAGCTGCTCCCCTCAGCAGTGGATTTCAGTCTGCCTGTTCTGCTCCCCACGCTGTCTCTGGGGAATCCTATTACCCCTGGCACCTCTGGCCTACACCCCAGTTCTTCTACACAAACACACACACACACACAAAGGATCATGCCCCCTCAGACTGATGGCCAGTTTACCCAGGAGGATGACTTTGAGAGTGACCTACCATAGAAGGTCAAGTAGCCAAATAGGGCAGCAAGCAGGTACATGATGAGCATCCCTGTGATGGAAATATTTGATACCGCTTGCATCTTCCTCCGGGACCGACTGAAAAAAAAATGTTTTTAACTTATGAAAATCTCACTTTTTGCATTAAAATGTAAAAAAGTAATGGAAGCATATAGGTCTGTGCTGCTTATGATAAATTCACCATTCTCTTACAGAACGATAGCTTGTTTAAATTTGTCTTAGAGAAATGTGGAGAAGTTGGAATATGGAAATTTTTCTTAAACATTACTCTTTCAGTCTTAGAAAAAACATTTTCCTAGAAGAAGACCAAGCTATTCTGGGTTGATAAGTAAGCTTTTCTGCTGAGTGTTTAAGAATGTGATTTATGTAAAGATCAAACTGGCTTGTATGTAGAAAGTTTTCATATCTCATGAAACATGGGCTTACTAAAGAGAGGAAACTACTAGAATAGCAAAGCACTACTTCCAGGAGTTCAGAATACAGAGCTGATATTATTAAGTGGACATTTTCTGGAAACCTCTCTAGGTGTTCAGCTACTTTAAGTCAATTATCAGACCTCTAGAATAACAACTACATATGATTTTCCAAGTTAATAAAAGTCATTAAAGTAACTGAAAGTGTTCAAAGAAATTTTATGAGGTAAACTTTATAAATTTATAGATAAAGTTATTGTTATTTAGTGAGGATGAAGACTGAGGTTATTGATGTCTGGGTGAAAGAAGTTGAGAATTATTACATGATACCATCCCCAAGGAACAAGGGCTCAGAGCCATATATCCTCACCAAGTATATGTCAAGATCAAGGGGAAAGCATATTAATGAATCACATAATACCAGCTAGAAGAAACAAGGTTGTTTGGACTGTGTCTCCACCGCTCAGATTACAGTGAAGATCAGATGTTGGCACCTTCCTGGGGTGAGTTTCTTCTGGACAAGGGTTAGGGATTGACCACCAATGACACTGATGGCCTTGCTAAGCCTAATTTTTGGTCTACATGGATGTGATCATTTCTGGTTCAGATGGCATCACTGCTTTCCATCAAATCCAAGTTCCCTTTGCCTGTCCAAATTGGCACCTCCTCTCCCTGCTCTGAACCACCCTCCACAACCTCACCCGATCATCAGATTGTAGAAGGAAGGAGATAAAGTTGTGAGTGCGATGACAAGACTGACTCACATCTTTTTGGTTAAAAAACATGGCTGATGGGTGATAGAAGCACAGCCTTTCTGTGAAGAGAAAGCTATAAAACTAGGTTTCTGTATAAAACACCTGGAACATAAAAGCCCATTTTCAAAGCAAATGAGAATGCTAACAGGATGGCCGCCTTACTCTTTCAGTTCACTGTAGATGGGGAGGACCTCAGGGTGGCATACAAACGCAAATGCTAGGATTGGAATTGTATAGGCCGTCTGAAAAACAAAGACACATGTTAATGGATCCCTAGGCTTATGGAACCAAAACTCATTGCTGGGCTTGTAGGACGCCCAGGCCTCTCACTTACCCGGTAGTTGAATACGAAGTACTTGGGCTGACACTTGTCATCACTCTGAGCTTCATATTCAACACCACTGTCATGGAGGGAGTGTGTGGCCTGGTTCTCGTCTAGCCCCATGGGGTTCTGGTGGGTGTAATCCATCATGAAGTTCACACCACCACTCTCAGAGTTGTTGGGTAAAGTCATCATGTGCATTGGAAGAGTATTGTTGAAGGTGAGATTTCCAACATTGTGATCCAGAATGGGCAGAGGGCAGGGTATTTGGAATTTCTTGTAAATCACCTAGACCCAGTCATTCAAACAAACAGATAAACAAACAAGCAAGTCAGTTTGGGAGGAAAAGCGGTGAAATGAAAATCTGTATGTGTGCCGTCATGGGTGAGGCTGAGAGGATTCCCTTTAGACTAATGGACCATAGAGACTCCTTGTAACCTTTGTTCCAAACAAAGTGTTGGAAGTATGATTGGCAGCTCTGCCCCTCAGAGTTGACAAAATCATGTTTTGCAAGAATCTATCCTAAGTTTGAATTATATCCTTCCATGAGAAAGATAATTTTCTCACATTTCATATTTTTTATTTCTTCAAACTAATGATAATATGGGTCATCAAAAATTCTCTCCTCTTGCATTGCCTTTCTGGGGAAATGCTGTATTAATTCTGGTATCCATGATATTACCAAAAATTCCCCCTTTAGGAAGATAGTGGGGGTTTGGAGGGAGTATTTCTTCTCTAATTCCCTATATCACTCATCTTCATGGGTAGAACATGTAAGAGGAATAGGTGAATTCATGTGGCTGTGATTAATTCTAGTCTACTCATTGCTCTTCTGAGACATTTCTCTTCTTCCTCGACTTTTCTAAATTTGGTTATTGTCTTGTTTTTGCTTGAAGCGTTCTTTTAGTCCAAATACACATTGAGTATGCCTAGAACATATCACTTGAAATTATCTTGACATTTTAACTTAACTACTTTTAAACAGCCACTCTTCTTTCATTCCAAATTAGAATATAAGAAAGCTGCTTGTGACATGAGAATGATTTCATGCTCGTGCAGTGCCCAGACAAAAATGGAGATACTATCAATAATTCAGGCACTAAAAGCTTCTCATGTCCACCAAGCTCCAAGGATCACATCCATAAGTCACTTACCACACTGACAAAAAACACCATGCAGGTGAGAGAAAATCCACTGGTATAACCAAGGTAACCTAGGAGTTAGCAGAGAAATTCTGAAAGGTGAATATGGTATCTACAATCAGCTTACCTATTAGAATACGAAACGAAAATAAAAATTGAAAGTGACTTTACCTAGATTTTTAAGAAGAGAAAGTGGAAGAATGACTCCAACAGACACAAATATGACGAGGTAGTTACCATTGAGGTACCATTCTCTAGGAGAGAGAGAGAGAGATGGGGACATTAGGACTAGAAAAGTCCTTGCAGAAGGAGCCATTGGACATCACAGAGAACGTAAGACATACCCACTGTTTTCTTCAAGTCCCATGAATGCTCTGATTACTTCAGGCAGTTCATACTTGATGATAAAGAGGTAGCTTGACATTGCTAAAATGGAAAACAGGACAGTTTAGCTGAGCATTTAGCACTGACTCACTGTAAGTTGTGAGAACTCCTGGTATTCGGGGGTGTTCGTTCTCAGTAAAATGAGCATTAATCCCCCATGGAAAGAGTCACTCATGAGTGTTTATATTGTGCCCAAGTTCTTTAAAAAAAAATAGATGTGTGGTCCTTTGGCTCTGGCAGATGGACCTTTGTATCAATTTCAATGTTAGTTTTGGGTTAAATCCAGAGGTTTTCAAAGGAGCTGCTGTTTCAAAGGTTTTCCCTCATTAGTTATAAATCATCACTGTTATAAATCACTGTGCTGAGTATGCCGGTCAGTACCTATGGCTGGATCTGGGGTCTAGCACCAGGAGGTAAGGACCAGAAGAGGGGCAGCAGAGTGGAGCGGAACAGACTTGTCACTCCCTGTGGCTTTTCCCAGATGGGCACCAGTCTAGTTCTCTGTAATGTCCTGAGGGGCACACAGAATCTCAGGCCAGTGACTGATCAAAATGGAGTCACCCTAGATCAATCAAAGAATATAGATGATGATAGTTTCTCTCCCTTTTGTCAATGAAGTTTTTCCCCTCTCCTTTTGGTCAAATAAGAAATTATAAAAACAGGAGAAATTTCTTGAGCATTTAGGTAAGTGACAGGTATGTGATCACTTACTCTTCTGAAAATCTGAAATGGAATGAAATCCAGAAACCCTGTATCTGGAGCAGTGCTGAGCTTATAAATAAGCACAGCATATAACTTTGTCACAAGTGTAGCAATTGATGCAACAACACTTCCCCCAAGTCATTTGACACATGACCAAAAGATGCAGTTAAAAAATAAAATGGACAAGATTTGCATTGCAGCTTTAATTATATGCTCCACCTTCTGGTAACAGAAATTTAAAGTAATAGCTATTAATAGCTTAACAACATTTTCTGAACATCAAATAAAAGTAATAGTGGTGATAATTTTCAACACTGGTTAGCCCTGCACATTACTATGCATCTGATGATCTGAGAACCCCTTTGAAATAGCAAGATGTTATTTATATTTATATTTATTATATTTATTCCTCTGCAGCGGATATACAGCTTTTGAGAGCTTAAATGACATGTCCAAGATCACACAGTCTGAAAATAACAGACCACATCTAGAACATGAGTTCCCGGATTTGGGGACAGTGTTTCTTCCCTTGGTAAAATAAAATGATTTTTACATACTCAGTACGATTTCTGTAAACATTATTTAGTTAATCTTTACAAAGACCTTGGCTAAAGCTACATCTTACAGAGGGTAAACAGAGGAGATATTTCTGATTAACTGGCTCAGTGCGGTACCATTCACTTTTAGAGCTATTAATTGCTGACTTTAAGTGATATCACCACTGTTAATGTGTTTGGTCTTCAAAAATTCAGAATGATCCAGACCTGTCTGGGTAATGTCAACATTATTCTGCTAATGTTGAAACATCCGTGGTAAATGTTAATTTTTCAGAGGACTGAGAAAATTAAAAATTAAATGTTTTAAATACAGAATGTTGCTAAATACAGAACTACTTATGCCAAAATAATCATAAAGAGTAACTAAAGTGAGAACCTTTTTAGGGAGGAGGTATGAAATTTCCTCTCCCTTCCTTATAGTCACACTTTTTGAGTATAAGGCTTGATGAATAATAAACCACCTGATTATTTTGTTATTGTTTAGAAGCTACAGACAATGGTTTTCCCCAGACTCTTGGGTTCAGGGATGAATATGTTTACGTTGGTTATTTTAGTTGTCAAATAAGCAAATAAGCAAATTAAAACAGCAATGAGGTGTTCCTGGGAAATGACTGATACTTTACATCTTGATAGGGCAGAAAGTTTGAACCAACTCTAAGGCAGTCTATTTAGTGAGGGCTGGGAGAATTATTTGCTTGTGTCCCAAAATCAATAAAATGAAAGATGTAATTGTGGTGTTACTACCAAGTTCTACTCAAGATGAGAGTCTAAATATAAAAAATATGCGAAGAAAGAAATACAAATTATTAAGATATGGCTGGATTTCATTTATCTCCTTACCAACTATGCATTAACAGGAGTAGCTATCATTGAATAAAGCTTATTAAAACAAGTGCTACCTTCCAGAAATCCTAGATAACTCCAGGGATTTTATTTATCAGAAAAGGGTTACCTCCTCAAAATATGTCTATGCAAGTTTATTGTTGCAGCTTTGTGTGCAACAGTGAAAAACAAGAGGCAATGAAGACTCAAGTTTGTGCAATGAAAAACTCAAGTTGTTTAAAAAGAAGAATATGCAATTGCATTCGAGACATACTGTTAAATAAAAAGCAAACTGTCATCAGTATTATAAAGTTACCTCATTTTAACAACATATTTGTTAAATTTGACAAGAAAACCTGGAGTAGTTATTTCTATAGTTATTTCTATGACTTACATAAACATTTCTTTATAATTTATGCAACATTTTAGATTTTTACAATTCGCATATATTTGTCTTATAATTATAAAAAGACCCACTTGAAAGTAATCAGGAGGACTCCAAACACACGGGTATTGAATCTGTGAGCTGGTAAGGAAGCATTTACTGAATCCTTATTTTGTTTGTAGCATATGTTGTCTTATTTCACCTTGGCAAAGACCTTGTGAAGTCCTCTCATTTTCATAGATGGAACAGCTAGACTAAGAGGACTATAGTGATTTTCCCAAGATCATAAATGGTGCCAGAAACAGACTTAAATTGCATCAAAATCTAGAGGTCTATTCTCTACTTAAGAGTTTGAAAATGTCTTTAAAAAACAGATACAGAGAAACAGGGCCAATGGACTCCGTAAGAAAGTGTCCTTAATAGCCTAGAGAGGCTATGGATAGTATACAAGGAGAGGGAGTGGGAATGGGATAGAGGGAGAGAGAGAAATGACAGAATGAGAAATGTGTGGTGTGTGGGGCGGGGTGGGGGGAGGATTGGAAGATGACATGGTATGGGAACTGAAATTGTATACAGTTTGTTATGGTTTGGCATAGGACACAGGGAATGGACGGCTGGCTGGCTGGATATACAGACACGGTAAGTAGGTAGGTAGATAGACAGACAGATAGAGAGATACCTAGGTAGGAAGGTATTGCAAAGGCAGGTGGAAGAAAGATGATGGTAGGAAAGGTATTGCAAAGGCAGGTGGAAGAAAGATGATGAAGGCCCTTATGTATCTGGCCAAAGAATTTAAATTTTATCATAAAAATAATGAGGAAAAATTTTATGAAAGGGAGAAAGAAGAACAGAATTGAATTTGAAAAAGTAAATCTGGAGGTGAATTAGAGACAGGAATATGTGAAACAGGAAGACCAGCCAAAACTGAGGCTACTGCCACAATCTGAGCTAGAAATAGTGATCACCTAAACTGTGCTGCTGATACCTTTGGAGGGTCAAAGGCACAATACGATCACAATGAGGCCAGTGGGCAGACTTATCAGCTGGAACATTGCCAAAAAATACCTGTTTTCAGGCTTCACTTGAAATTATAATTCAATAGGAAATGTAAGGATCTGTAGAATCAAGGAATCTGTGGGTTCTAATGCTGCCAATGCCTAGCCAGATTTTTACCTTAACATAACTACTGGAGACCCGCTCCACTGACTGACTCTGTACAAGCTCTCTCAGGGACCCAAGCATTTGGCTCTGCCACTTAGATGCCGAATTTTCAGTTTCATGAAATAAATTCAGTCATACATATGAAGCATCAACCGCTCTAGCAATAACAAACAGCACTACTGCTATTTTAAAAAGTAATAAAATGCTTTTAATTGCCATAAGCACTTTATTATTTATTGAACATTCTTGGTCTATTGAAAGTTCTGCCATCTTACCTCCAATGTTCTGCAGTGTAATAGAAGTGAAAGCTCCAATTTTCCCAGGCCATCCAAATGCTTTCTCCCCTAATTTTTCATAAATTAAAGATCCTACAATCAAAGACAAAAGAACTGTTAAACTTACATTAACGACTAAGATATTTCTATGATAGAATTCTACACTGGGCTCTCAAACATATAAATAAACACTACGTAGAAATTATAAACACAAGTTACACAATTTTAAAAACCAACACAAAAATGTGTTAACATGGACTCCAAAGTAGTAGCAGGCAGTAAGTCAAAACTGTTATTTCTATTATCTACCTACAATCTTTTTCTATATAGCTTGCATCTAAGCCAGCTGACTTGCACTCTTCACATTTGCTGAAATAACCAAAAACATTGGTGTCCCAAGGAAATAAAATATAAAATTGCCCAAAATCATCCTATAGTTATAGGACTGAGGACTGAAATACAATGATGAGAATCAAAATATAAGGTCTTGAACTTAAGGGCTAGCATACCTCCTTCCTTAGAGGTCTTTAACAGAAGGTGGACTGAATAGAGAGATAATATTGCTACAGCCAGCAGCATGATTCTGTGGAGGGAAGAGAGAGTAGAACAAGGTTTCTATAGTAACAAGATATGATAATTTTAATTGTTACAACCAATGATCACATCAGTCTTCTCAATTACTAATTTCAAAAGTCCTCTCATTTAAATATATATGTATATATAATGTGTATATATCACATCATTATTCATTTTTTTCTATATAGATATAGAAATATCTGTATAATGTTTGCTTTCTCCTCTCAGGTATAGTCCCAGTAAAATTCTCACCACCAAGTCAACCGTGCACCATCACCCTAGTCCCTTGTGCACTTCCCTCCCCTGTTTTGATCCCTCTCCCTCCTCCTCCCCTGCAGAATGTCTCTGATTTCAGTTGCCTGCTAGTTTTATCTATTTATTATTTTCGCCTCTGATCCCTTATTTGGTTCCCCTATATTCCTCCTATAAGTGAAACCATATGATATTTTCCTTCTGACTTATTTCACTAAGCATAATCCCTTCCAGCTCCATCCATGTTGCTGTGAATGTTATGAGTTTGTCTTTTTCAATTGCTGAGTAGTATTCCATTGTGTATATAGACCCCACCTTCTTGATCCAGTCATCTATTTTGGGGCATTTGGATTATTTCCATATGTTGGCTATTGTAAATAGTGCTGCAATAAACATAGGGGTACAGGTATTCTTTCAAATTAATGGTTTTTTTTTTGTTGTTGTTCTTTGGGTAGATTCCTGGGAGTGGAATTGCTGGGTCATATGGGAGCTCCACTTTTTAGTAATTTGAGGAACCGCCACACTGCTTTCCATAGTGGTAGGACCAGTTTGAATTCTACAAGCAGTGTAGAAAGTCCTCAAATTTTGAGGAAGCTGAGAAATTCTTTCCAGAACTCTATATTGTTTATTAATGTCACCAAACTGGAATTTGTTGTATTTTATATGCCAAAACTTATTCCTGAAGTTCCTAACATTTCTTAAGTGTTCCTGAGTAGAAGAATCTGGTTCCTAGAGACACTTTTTTGGAGGTGGGGGGTGGGGGGTGAGGGATTGGGGTCAGAATGGGGGGTTTGCAATTGTATGGGGGAATATAAAAATAAAATTTATTATTTAAAAAAAAAAGAATCTGGTTCCTAACTTAAGATGTTAAATGTAAAATAAAATTAGCAAATATTGTATCTATTCACACAGTGTGTGGGTATATGAACATCATCTTGGTCTATATTTTCATCAATATTGATAATTGAAAGGCTGTTCAGCAACCTGACTACACTTTAATCTAAAATGTGGAAATCTGTGGAGTCTGAGTTCCACTTGCACATCAGATGACAAGATACTTTGTGAAACAGAGTCAGGTGATCACATGTTTAATAGAGAACAGAGGCAGGTGAGTGCAGGAAAATCCCCCTTCTTTTGTATTCCCCTCACAACTGAGCCAATTCATTCATAATTCCTGAGGATGTCAATGTGAAAATGTACATTTGGACTGTGAGTTATAAATTTTATAACTGCTCTGGGCCTCCCTGGTGGTGCAGCGGTTCAGCGCTGAGTTGCGAAGCTGCCCGTGGCCTCTGTGGCGCCGGTTCGATCCCTGGCTGCTCCCCGGCCACCGGAGGAGGGTCCCACGTGGCATGCCGACCTCTCCTGCCGCCCGCTGCTCCCCTCTGCAGTGCACTTAGGTCCTTCTGCCTGCTCTGCTCCCCACTCTGGCTCTGGTGAATTCTCTCACCCTCCAGCGCTTCTGAATGTACCCAGTGCATGTATAAACAAAACAAATAAATAAATAAAATAAATTAAAAAAAAATGCCTCTATAAAAAAAATTTTTATAACTGCTCTAACTATATTGTACTCTCATCTTTCACAAAATTTATTTACCAGAGCTGTCTAATTAAGGATTCATATATTTTTTCATGCACCTTATGAACCTGCCTGTTTTAAAAGAATTATGTAACTTGAGTTACATAATAATATGGAAAAATAATGTGCACTTCCTATATTCTAAACATATGCTTGCTTTGGCAGAGAACCCTAAAGTAAAGCCAATGAAGTACTATGTCACTTATGAATTAAGGAAAATAGCTGAAGTCAGTCTATACTACTTGGACCCTACAATGTCTAGCAATTGAATTGCTTTGGCCAAATTAATATGCTAAATATTTATAAATGAAGTGAAACCCTTGATTTTAAAAGTGGAATATTCTCTCATGAAAATGGCCTGTGGCTATAGGATTAGGGAAAACTGTTCCTTATTTCTATTCATGAGTAATCTATCCTAATTAATTTAAGTGAGATGTATAATTAAAAAGGAGAAGGCAGACTTTTTATCTTAAAGACAGTGTACATTACAAAAGTATATAATATAAATACACATAGGATTACCTCCCTAGCCATTAAGACTCAGAGAATCAGAAAGATGGTTTATCTAAAGCATAAGTTATAAAAGTAAGGTTGTGATAAAAACCCATTTGGCTAAAAAATACTATGCCTAAAACAGTTTAATTAAAGCACTAACACAATATAAATATTTATAGTCTGATCCTTAGCCCTCAAATATCTATGTGATTATTGAATCACAAGTGATGTTCAGAACATAAATAGCATATATTTGTAGTCTAGATGTTGCATTCTTAGACAGTTATTTAACTCTCTATCATTGCATTAAGAATTGAGATCTGCATACACGTTGATGCCTGACTAACATTAGGCTTTATTCCTGTCAAGAATTCCACTGCTGCCAGCTATGTCTTGGAGATTACCAAGTCATATGTAATGTATATACACATTTGTGATTGTCTATCACAGCCATTGCTGCTCCATCCTCCTGGTCAAGTACATGACAAGCCTGGTTAAAACACATGGATTTAGGAATAAATAAGCTCCAGCACTCTGAAAATACTCCTCGTGTCAGACTCTGTGCTGGATCTTGGGGATATGGACACATGGTGAGTGAAATCATCATGGGCTCAAGTCTCTGGAGATTATAGGCTAGCAAGGCAGGTAGACATCAACCAAGTAAACCAGACAACAGCATTAAGTAGCAAAACTATGGTGAACTGAAAATGGAACTACCATATGAGCCAATTATTCCACCCCTAGGAATGTACCGAAAGGGCACAAAACACTTCTTTGAAAGGAAACCTGCACCCTGCTGTTTATTGCTGCACTAGTTACAATAGCCAAGATAAGGAAACAACCCAAATGCCCCCAAGTAGACAAATGAATCAAAAAGTCTGATATATATATATATATATATATATATATATATAGTGTATATTTTGTGCGTGTGTGTATGTGTGTGTATACAATGGAATACTACGCAGCCCTCAAAAAGGATAAACTCATGCCAATTGTAGCAACATGGATGGAGCGGAGAGGGATGATGCTAAGCAAAATAAGTCAGAAGGAAGAAGATAAATATCAGATGATTTTACTTATAGGTAAAATAGAGAGAAACCAAACAAAAGGCCAAGAAAAATACTAAGCTTGCAAGCTGACCATAGATCTGAGGTATCCAGCAGGGGAGGGGTAAGGAGAGGAGTCAAAACAGGGAAGGAAAGAGAACAGGAGACTGTGGTGATGGTTCATGGGTGCGATGGTGGTGGGAGAACTACTGGGACAACACCTGAGGGGAGAAATCAAATACTGTGCAAATACTGAACAAGAATGTAAGAAAGTAAATAAATTAATTTGGGGGAAAAATTCAATTTAAACAATAAAAGTTCAAAAAATACGAAATCAAACCCAAAAAGAAAAATGGGCTAAGTAAATGCTCTATGACAAATGTGAAAAAAAATAAAACTATGAAAAGTGCATAAGATGATAGCCTGTCCCAGTCATCAAGGGTGAAAAAGGTAGCACTGAGGTGAGGCTGAACTGAGCGACGAGGAGTTAATTGGACAAAGAAAGGGGAGAGGATGCCAGGACCAAGTGCAAAGATCTGGTTGTGCGAGAAGATGCACCTCAAAGGGGTTGAGAGAGGGCCTGTGTGCTCTCTGTGCCTGGGCAGAGAAACACGGAGCTGGGAAAGAGCTGGGACTCAGTTGGTCAGGGCTCTGATTGGGATGGCCCCTTTTCCTAAGAATGTGAAAGTCAGACTTGCTTCTGAGAAAGATCCTTAGCATGCTAACTACCAAATTATTTTCAGCATCTCCTGAATAATGAATGACTATCAAACTGTCCCCATACACTGGGCACCTGCTCCAGCATTTAGGTGGTTGAATGCACATATTTTCTGCCACTTGGTTGTGAATGTTTGGTTGGCCTGACTAGACCTCTATTTATTTCTCAGGTTACTGCTTTCTCTCCAAATAAGAGGAACATGCTAGTACTTACTCAGATTAGTCCTGTTCACAAAGATCAAACTGCAGACTGTGGAGGGGAAAGCACACCAGTGGGTGTGGACTTCAGCTGAAACGCAGAAACATTCACTTACACAAAAAGGATGATCCCGGTGTTGGCCATGGCATAGGACAAGCCCAGAATCCCACTGCCCATGATGGCGTTGCTCAGGTTGAACGAAGACATTCCAAAGGAGGTGGCTCCAGGATGCTTGAAGACAAAGGGACACTATTAATTAATTAATTAATTAATTTATTTATTTATATTTATAATGTGGAAGAACTGGGGTGTAGGCCAGAGGTGCAGGGGTGAGAGGATTCCCCAGAGACAGCGTGGGGAGCAGAACAGGCAGACTGACTAAAATCTACTGCTGAGGGGAGCAGCAGGTGAGACAGGAGCGGTCTGCTGCGCCATGTGGGTCAGCTCCCTGGCCAGGGACCAAACTCAGGCCATAGTGGTGACAATGCTGAGACTTAACCCCTAGGCCACCAGCGAGGCCCAGGCATGATTCTTATAGTTACCCAGCTGTGTGATCTCTAGATGCACGTAAGCAGTTAACATGCTTGTCACTTGGCTTAAGAAAATGGGACCTGAACTAGTCTGACTAACAGGCTACAACAGTTTCTGAATTCACACACATTATATATAACACATCCCTCAAATTTAATTAATTCCCTTGGGGGATAAAAAATATTTCTTTGACTCCTTTGTCCATTTCAGGGAAGAAGCAATGGAAGTGAATCCAATTGCGTGTTGTAAAACTATTTGGGTGGAATAACTACAAAGGAATTGGCAGAAAAAGTACCAAAAACCCAAGTCCTTGATTTAGAATTTGCTTCTTATTTACCAGTCACATTGAATCTGGGGATTTGGCACATAAGGCAGATGTAGCACTGACAGCCTGAGACTCAATCCCTAGGACAGCAGGGAGGTCCCCCAAAGGGACACTTTAGAAGCAAATATTTGCCAAATATTTTTAGGTTATTCTTAACCTCACGTTATCTTTATCAGGGGAGACTGTAATCCAAAATTGAAGAGTAAGACAAAATCACGGTGAATAAAAGCTATGACTTAAATGAAAGCATGTCATTTTCCATGTAATGTAATGCCTGATTTCAGCAGGGGTCTCAGTAAAAATTAAAAATCCAGGTCAAGGAACACAAAGAAAAAAAAAGCAAGTATGACTGCAGATTACATTTGGGTTAGAATGATTTCTCCACAAAACAAATGCATTTCATAAATGATTTATGCAGCCATATGGCCAAAAGGAAAAACAAGCCCTTATTCCAGTAAGGGCCTGAATAAACAGAGAATGTGCTGATCAAGGATTGGAAAATTTCAGTCACATTGTTTTCCCACAGAGACCCAACACCTCAGGTCCTGTTTACCGCCTGCCGGCAGAGATCCACTTACGTGTTCATCCTCATAATCTGCGAGCTTCTTTTCCCCCGAAAAAAATCCGTTGGTCAGGAATTTCTGACTCTCATCATCTCCGTTGGCAAACTGACTGCGCACACAAGCAGGAAAGGAAAGGAAGAAAGTGAAAACATGTAAGCAAATGGCCTGAATTATCTTTCTGTTTCAGGTGATCTCAGTACCTGAATTAGGGGAGGAAAAACAAATCACCTACTGCTTCTTTTTCTCTCTTCCACATTGATGTTCCTTCTGCACCAACAACAGAACCCCATTCATAAAGACAACTTGGGAGGGAGGAAGGAAATTATGAAGAAGGAAAATATTATTTTCATTGGGATTTTTATTCAGCCCCATCTCTTCTTTCTACAATAAGTTCAAGAAAGAGCAGGAGCTCATTTTTTGTTCTCACTGAAAATTGGGCAGAGCTGGGACTGAATATTTTCAACCATGACGACACCATCATCAGGTGATTTTATTAGTTCAACATGTAGTCATTAAGTGCCCGGGTGCTGCCACCCTCATCTCATCTGATGCTCACCTATTTATTCTAGAGGGACTTTTGTGCCCTTGCTCTAGGGATTTGGCAACCATGGCTCGGAGAATTGACGAGTACGCCCACACCCCAGCTCCATGTCTGGATGTTCCACAGCACCATGCAGCCCACGAAAGGTCCTATTGTTGTCACTGCCCTCTTTTTCAGGCGCCATATATTCACGCATGCATCCCTTGCAGGAACACAGCTCAGGGAGCCCTCGTCGTATTTAGCTGTTTCTGTGTGTGGATGGGTGCATTTTAATTACTCTGAAAATGTACCTGGATTGCTAAACAGAAAATTAAAGAAGCCCAATTAATTAGTAGAAAAGTTGATAAGGAAGTAGGACTTTAAGCTGTCCCTCTCCAGAGCACATCCTTACTGGGGTCTGTGGGCACAGGGTGCCAAACATCCCCTCCATGAACTGCCCAGGGACTGCGTCACATGCCTTGCAGATGGTACCACTGCATTTGGACACTGCAAAATATCATATAGCCTTTCTTTTTTATTACATGAAATGTTCACCTATGCATGCTCCTTAACAGTGTTTTCTTATTAGTTAGATTGCAAATTTTAGGGCATTTGTTCCATGAAAGAATAAGATAAAGTAATCAGAGAGTGTTTTATTAAAATAATCCTTAATGATAAAAAAAAACCCTTAAACAAAAAGTGAAAGAGAATTATTATAGGAGAGCTATACAAACTCTCTTTTAAACAGGAGCTAATCCTGAATACAACCTTGTGAGATAAGGGTATGGCAAGGTTACCTTTTGAGAATAGAGAACAATATAAGGTGTAGACAGAACCAGGAAACAAAAACACAAAGTTTTATGTATTTTTCCAGAACCCAAGGCATAGATAACCTCACAGAATATTGGTTGGGGAATTCTTCTGTTTCTCACAGGAAGTATGAGGCCCTCCAACACTCACTTCTTACATCACTGCCATCCACCCTCCCTTTCTTGTGCACATTTTAAGAGTCTGTGGCTAATGTGCTTGCTGTGTACAAACTGGTACATGTTGTTCATAGTTGGAAACAGACAATAAGGTGAAATGGAACCTAAAATGGACTTAAGGATCATAAACAAAAACAAAAATGTCACCTAGATTTGAACTCTGGATTGTCCAACAGGCTTTCTTTCTTTCTTTCTTTCTTTTTTTTTTTTTTACTGTAGTAGATAATCTAGGATTCTTTATTTCACAAGTAGCATGTAGCAATTATAATTATTTCTGTGGCATTTGCGTGTTCTTATTTTGGCATGAGATGAGTCAGAGTCATAAAACTTGCCAAGATTGTATAAAAGACATGAGAAATGTCCCCAGTGTCAAAAATATTTTGATATTAAACCCAACAAGTATTGGCAGCATGAGTATGATTCCAAATAAATATGATTTATTCCAAATAAATGTGCTGTGCTAAATTTCCAAAACCTTGACATCCAAACCAAACATGAACAAATACATCTTTTCCAAGTGATTATAAAATTGCAATATGTTGACCCATGATTGAATAAGGAATTGAAAAGAAAATCAATGGAGTGCTGAAACTCACGAAAACCATTTGCACTATTTCTATTATGGCTTTTTTGAGGAACAAATGGGGTGACTCTAAAGGGCTGTTTGGGATAGGGACCCTTCAAACTGCCTCCCTCTGCAGGGCTCATATGGAAAAGCCCTTGGGCTTGAATCAGTTCGCTAAGGCTGATGAAGTGCAGAAGCAAGAATACAAATTTATTGAGTAGCACTTATATTCCAGGCATCTGAGCATCTTCCAAAGAAGCTCAAAGAAGATAAATATCTTCTCCAAAGTCAGCAAAATCTGCTGCAGATCCAAAACTCTGTGCTCAGCCATGCAGTGTCTCCTCAAGTCACCTTAGCTGGTGACACCTAGAAAATGCCAGGATCTACATTTCCATGGCTTCTAGTCCAACAAACCTAAGCGTTTACTGCACAGATGCCTTGGAGGAAAAACAGTACCTCTCCTGCAAACAGTGAATGAAATGAGACTTCCTTATTTGAGGATATTATTCTCTATTCCAGGTCCACATATGATTAAAAAAAAAAAAAACTTTGAGTCATGCATAATTTGTATTATATAACATATTGTGATAAATTAATTTGCTTATCAAAAATTATTGTTCACCCTCTGTGTATCAAGATGTGTGACATATACTGGGACTAAGAAAAGACTACCCAGCTATTGCAGCAGGGTGATTATCTGGATAGGGAGAGGTGCACAAAGGAGGGAATTATCATTTCCATCTGGGGACTGCTATGTATTACATTTGGCTTTGAGCTGCATCTTGAAGGATGAGTGGCGTCAATATAAAGGTGAATGTGTGGGAGATACTAAAAGAGGGCATTCCAGGCAGACAGGGCAGAAAGAGCGAAGGCCCAGGGAGCTATGAAAGGTTGAAAGGTTCAACAAGGTCAAGAAGAGTGTATAAGAGGGGAGCAGGGCAACAGACCAGACAGGAAAACTAGGTCAGGGACAGATCATGAAGGATCTTAGCTGTCAAGCAATGTATAAGCTCTATTTTATAATGAATGCAGAGCAGTTGAAAGGCTTTATTCAAGGCTGGAATCCATCAATTTGCAGTTGTAAAAGATTATTTTTCTTAGAAAGGTGAAGCATTAATGGGAGGAGAGCAAAATGTAATCAGGGTTGTTTTAAAGACAGTTGAAGACCTAAAGTAAGATGGAGAAATAGTGGACATAAAGAAGAGGGTGGGCTTGGAGCATTAATGAGGTAGAACCAACTGGACATAGTCAAACATTGGATGCATGGTTTGGAGGAGGGGCTGAGTCAAAGCTGACAAAAAGGGTCTTTGGATTGAGTTGCTGAGTGATCATAGAGACTTCCACCACGATGGGGATTACTGGAGAAGGCTTCAAAGGGGTTCAATATTAGATGTCACAAGTTTGACTACATGAAGGAGGCATTCAGACACATGAGTCCTCAGTAGAGGTGTATAGTAAACTGTTGGATGTAATGTCCTGAAATTCAGTTGAGAAGTTGAACAAGCTAAAGATACGGCATATTTTGAATGGGTGAAACCAGGATAGCTGTGAATGAGTGTGCTCATAGGACATATTTAGAGAGAAAAGAATCCCTACAGAACTTTGGAGATGGAACATTTACAGGGTAGGAGGAATCAGAGAAAAAGTAGTCCCAAAGGTAAGAGCAGTGCTCAGTTAACAAAACCAAAATTATCCTGCATTATTAATGGGAATGAGAATACTGTAACCTCAATTCTACATTAGTCGCACAAGGGACCGACAGACACTTCTACGTATACTTCAGGATTGTGGGGTTGATATGTTAACAGCATGGCATTATTCATCTCACAAGGGTCCAATTCTTCCTGAAAAAAAAAATCTTGTTTCCCACATGCATAAACCTCGGTTTTGCATGGAAACTAGTCATTTTAATACCTTACCTTCTCATTGCTGCCTTTTCTGAATTCCCCATCCTGCTGTAGCTGTCTTGAACACTTTCTCCACTGACACTCTCATCGTCAAGCTGGATGTTGACATTTCTCAGTTCCATGGGATCCATTTGAGTTGTCAGCGCTTTCTTGTCCACACACGTGCTCCTTCAGTGTAAACAATATACTGTACCTTCAGTTTAAGGCTCTTCCACTTTGTATAGATGTTCAGAACACACTGTTCTGCAAACAGAGCATAAAACAATGTGTTGTTTATAATTTCCTTTAAATTACATGAGTGAAGATGAATCACCTACTTTATATATGTTCTCTCTAAGAACATGAAAAGGAATTAAACTCCTGGAAACTTCACATAAATATGTTCATAAAGTTTCCTGTGCTCAGTACAAAAAGGAAAAAGGGAAGAGAAAAAAATCATTAATAAATTACCAAGCCAGCACATATTTATATAAAAATGGCAGGTGCTTTGCTAGTCACTGTGGAAAGAAAAAAAATTTTAAGCTATAACAGCAGTCTTTAAGAAGTTGTAAGTATTTATAAGTAGTTGCATGACTTAAAAGGCAGGGTACAAAGGTAAATTATTGAAAAAGGAAGTTTGCCAAGGGCAGAATCTCTCAGTGTCTTTCCTGGTAGTAACAGAAGAAAATTACCACTTTAATTTGCTACTTGGGAATGAAAGAATTAACACTACTAAAATGCTTTATAACATGCAACACAGGGCAGGGTGGAGTTTAGGATATGACTTTGTAGCTACTTGGAGCATTAAGCCAAAGTTCAGAATAGTAACAAAAGGGTACAGATTTATCTTGGAGCTAGTAGCATCACCATATATATAAAATTAAGATGTGCTTGGGCTGCCCCGGTGGCGCAGCAGGTTGAGCGCAGTGCTGTGAAGCTGTACGTAGACTCTGCAGTGCGGGTTCGATTCCCAGCAAGCCAGGGAGAAACTCACGTGGCGTGGCAGACCTCTCCTGTTTCGCCCGCTGCTCCCCTCAGCAGTGTATTTCAGTCGTCTGCCTGTTCTGCTCCCCACTCTGTCTCTAGTGAATCCTCTCACCCTCCCACGCCTCTGGCCTGTACCCCAGCTCTTGTATAAGAATAAATAAATCTTTAAAAAAAATTAAGATGTGTTTGACAACAAAAGGGATCCAATTTTCAGCATTTGCTCTGTCTTTAATTCAACAGATTTCAGCACAAGAGTTTTATCATTTTAGATCTCATTTTCCTCTGTCATAAAACTGAAAAGGGGTGAACTGGCATTATGAGAAAAAAAATGTTGCAAATCCATTATATATTGTTAATACAATTTCATTTGGAATTTTTACTGTTAAAAATTTTTCAATTCCCGGCCGACCAGGGAGATTCCCATATGGTGGGGCAGACCTCTCCTGTCCCACCCACTGCTTCCCTCAGCAGTGTGTTTTGGTCATTCTGCCTTTTCTGTTCCCTGCTCTGTCTCTGGTGAATTCTCTCACCCTCCCGAGCCTCTGACCTGTACCCCAGTGCTTGTATAAATAAATCTAAAAAAAAATTATCCAATTCTCGGTGAAACATATTGGGAGAAACTACCACTCTTGGAAGGTTGATTCTGGAATCTATGCTACCTATCTGGCAAGAAAATTCTGAGCAGAGAAGATAAGATAAAAATTGCTCCAGATCTCATGAAATTTATAAATTCCCTGAAAAATATAAAATAAGCATATGAGAAAGCTTCCACAATCCAGTACACTGGCAGTACATTTGTGGGTGGCAACTCACACTTGAGTTCACATTTCAAATTACAAAAGTTGTAAATCACATGGCAACTCATTAGTATGAGTGTTAGTATGCATGAGAATTAAGATTTACATCTGCCTGCAATATTGTGACATAGGACATGCATTCTATCTATCTATATGTATGTGTATAATATATATATTATATGTATTCATATGATCAAAATAGATTTCTCCTCTATTTGGCCTTTATCCAAAGTTCCTAACTTACAACTCTCAAAAGCCTTGGAATTTCCTAAGTGTTAAGAGTGATAAAAGTGTCTCTTGTTATGTTATGTTAATAAAGTGATTTGAGGGGGAAGCATCTAAGGATGGAAGTTGGTTGAAATAGGAACCAACAAAGTGATTAGTGAGTTGGAACTTCCAGCCCTCCCCCACCTGACATCCAGGGAGGGAAGAGGGGCTGGAGGTTGGCTTTGGTGGCCAATGAGCTAATCAATCATGCCTCTGTAATGAGGTCCCTATGAAAGCCCAAAAGAGGGACTTCAGAGAGCTTCCTGGCTGATGAACACTGGAGACGTCTATCTGGAGAGGGCACGTAAGCTCTGTGCCTTTCACCAATACTGTACCCTATGCCCTTCCACCTGCTTGTTGCTGAGTTACATATTTTGTAATAAATCAGTGGTCTAGTGAGCAAACGGGTTTCCTGATTTCTGCAAATAATTCTACTAAATTAATCAAAGCCAAGATTATAGGAAACTCTGATTTTATAGTCAATTGACCAGAACACACTCACATTGGAAATGGGTCCAGGACCTAATTCTATAACTACAAAGAACAAAGCAATTGTAAAGGGGAAAATTAATATGATAAAGAGTAATAAAAATTCGAAGAAATAACTTCAGTATAAGTATGTTGTAAAAGATTATGCTGCTTTACAAAAGCCGCCAAAATCTAAAAATATAGTCAGTGAAATAAAGAAAACTCAGTTGAGAGAGTGATGAAACTGGAAGATAAATCTGTGGCAATCACTCAAATTATATCACAAAGAGACAGGGAAGAAAAAATATTAAAAAATGAAGAGATATGGAGTAACAAAATAGAGAAGTTTAAACATAATTGAATATTCATTGTAATATGAGAGTATTGTGAGACTAAGGAGACACAAAATAGAAAGACATAACTGCAGAGAAGTGTCCAGAATTAAAAAAAAAAAAAAAGATAGTTCTTAAAATCCAAAGTTAGTCATTCTACATTTAATTCATATGTACCCTGGTATACATGAAAGATAAGGAAATTAGCATCTTTCATTTTATCCTTCTTTCCTCCACACTCCCAAGTGTGTTAGCTGATGAAATTGACATACGATGCCAAAAGTCATAATTTCATTCTATTTTGTAAAACAACTATTCTCTCATAATTTCTCTATAGGTTGGTTCTAGCCACTAAAGTCAATAATCAGCTTTTACATTATGATTGTATACAAAGTATGCCTCCAAAGAACGAAGTAGTATATGATGGCTATATAGTAAATAAACTATTATCCTATACTGTCAAAACTTTGAGAGTGAATTTTTCATGTTATTTAATTTTTTTTAAAGATTTATTTATTTATTTATACAAGCACTGGGTACAGTCAGAAGCGCGGGAGGGTGAGAGAATTCACCAGAGCCAGAGCAGAGAGCAGAACAGGCAGACTGACGAAGTACACTGCTGAGGGAAGCAGCGGGCGGCAGGAGAGGTCTGCACGCCATGTGGGACCCTCGCCCAGTGGCCAGGGATCGAACTGGCACTGCAGAGGCTGCGGGCAGCTTTGCAACCCAGCACTCAACTGCTGCGCCACCAGGGAGGCCCCATGTTATTTAATTTTTTAGAAAGGTTTCCTCCTCCTTTCTCTGGTCTCAATCATCTGCCAATGTTTTCTGGATGCCATTTCATCTTTTTTCTTCAATTTATTTTGTATTGTGTGAAGGACAGGACTCCAGAGATGTCCAGAATAGGCTTTTCCAAGATGCGTCAATAAAGTCCTTCAGATTGCCAAGAAACCTGTCACCTTTAACTACATAGAAGAGTGAAAATTGGGGGGTACTACCTAGAATTAGGATTTTTACCAGAAATAACTACCTTTCTACTGGAGACATCTACCTTCTATGGCAGGACAGACATGTAATAATAGAGTGCCTGGTCTTCATTATGAGTCACTCTGTCCTTATCATGAGAGCCCCCCTCCTCTCTCCTTAAAGACCCAGCCCCCATCCCAATCAATAGCTCAGAACAATGCCTTCATTTTGCCCCATTTACCTAAGAATCTATATCCACGTTGATTCTCCATATCTATGTAATTAACGTTGCTCTATGCTCCTACCAATCTGTTTTAAGTCAATTTGTCAGCCAGTTTGAGAAGAACCCAGAGGTAGAAGAAATACCATCTTAAATAACTTTTTTCATATAAGGTGTCCATATTCACAAACAGGATTTGACTTCTTTCATGATTAAAAATGTCATTATTTCACCTTCAAACTGTGTTGACTGTTGGAATTCTAGATTCAAAATTATTTTCCTTCAGAATGTTGAAGACATTTGTCTCTTGACGTGTAGCTTCTACTGATGAGTCTAATTCTCATTTCCTTGAGTTTTTAGATTTTTCTTCTTATTGTCACCTGAAATTTCTCCAGAATTTGATCAGATATGAGCAATTTTTTCCCCAACCCTTCAAAGCTTTATTTCTTATTTAATACATATAATATACCAAATGTTATTGAGAAATGCAAAATGACACTCATGTGTCCACAACCTTCTTTAAGCAATAAACTTGATAGTTTCATGTTGATACTCAAGTGTGATACTGCAGATCATACAGTATTTCCATGTTGAGTTTATGATAAATCCAGATCACTTTCCAAAATGGTTGTACCAATCCCGCCAAAAGTGTAACAGGGTTTCTTTCTCCACATCTTCTCCAGCAGTTGTTCTTGGAAGGTTATTCTTGTGTTATTTGACATGACTAGTTTTTAAAATTCATCTACACATGGAGAGACCATTAATTAGAAGAAAAATGTGTGTGTGTGTGTGTGTAATTTATTGTTATTGAAGTATTACTGTTCCACACCTTTGCAGCGTTTTCACATTGTAGGACATCCCTCCTCAGGTATTCACCATAGCAGTCCCCAAATATATATATATTTCCTCACTATACTAGACTTATATTTATATATTCCTTACTATATTAAAACTTTTATTAGTCAGATATTGGGCCTCTGGATCACTATGGCTAGAATTTCCCATTTTCCATTTCATTCTCTTACTATTCAGAGTTCAGGACTATTTCCTTGATATCATGTCCAAAATAACACATTTTCTCCTGGTTCCTGGCACAGAGCTTCTAATAGAATAAATTAATGCTTAATTTTCATCCCCAGTTCCTGTAATAGCTTTAAAATGATAAAGGGAAAAGGATAGTCTCTCCTTATTCAAAATAAGTCCTGTTCAACCTCCCCAGAGTTTACCTTAATGAAATGATTTTTGGAAAGCCCTGAAAGATGAGGGCGGCTTGCCAGGGGAACCAGCCACATGAATAGAGGGTGAAACATTCAGTGCTGCTTCTCAATCTTCAGGGAGAGGGGAGATGGACTTACTCTCCAGTGGCCAATGATTTAATCAATCATATTATGTGATGAATCCACCATGAAAAAACAAACAAACATACAAAGGGGATTGGATTGGAGAGTTTTTGGATTGGGGAACACAGGGAGCTACTGAGAGGTCACTCCCAGGAAATAACAGACAAGCTCTGTATCTATCCCCACTCATACTCTGCCCCAGGTGTGTTTGCCATCTGGCTGTGCCTGAATTGTATTTTTTTTTATAATACACTGGAAATCTAGTCAGCAAACTGTTTTCCTGAGTTTTGTAAGTCATTTTAGCAAATTTTTCAATCAAAAGAGGAGTTTGTGGGAACCCCTGATTTTTAGCCAGTCAGAAATATGAGATCTGGACTCACCATAAGTTGAAGTGGGGTCAGTCTTTCGGGATGGAGCGCTTAACCTATGAAAACCGACACTAATTTCAGGTAGCTAGTGTCAGAATTGAATTTCTATTTTAATTGAATTAAATTCCACACTTAGCTAGTGTGGAAGAATTGATTGGTTTGCTAAAAATAAAAACCCCAAAACCCAACCATTTGGTGGAGGAAGCATGGAGAGTTGAGTAGGAAAACATAGTTTGCTTTTAAGCTATCGCCATTCTACTTTTCGACCTGTTGACCGTTTTTCACAATCCTGCTTTTAATTTCTATTGATTTATTCTCCTCCTTTTTCTTTCATATTACCTTTTTTTTTGTTTTAAAGATGCAATATTTTGTTTTAAAGATGTAATACTTTGTTTTAAAGATGTAATCTTTATAAAAATATTGATTGGAAGTTTTCAAAAGCTCCTTTGTTCCCTCAATTATGTCTTTTTTTTTTCTGGAGTTATTCCTCTTGTTCATCTTTCCCTTTCATTTTCATGAGTCTGGTTGGTTTTGCCAAAATTCTGAGCTATCCTAGGTGGTCTGTCCTTGTTTACGAATGAGATACATTGGTTAGCACAGAGAGGACATGATTTTTCTGAAATCCCACTGACCTGTTTCACTGATGGTTCCCCCTTGTAGGCTGGGTATAAGTGGCTTTTTTGCAGCTTCTCTGTGTGATGAGCAGCTTGGAGGACCCACTTCCAGACACAGCTTGCATTCCAGGAGAGTTTCTTCGGGGAGCAAAAGGTGGTGTAGCCTCCTCTAGAAACTCTGCTACTGCTTGTCAGCCCTGCAAGTATCCAAGGGGGACCCTAAGGTCTACTCTAGAGTCACTCTCAAGTTTTCTTTACAAAAAGATCAGACTGATTCTAGAGGCAAAAATGACATCTCAAGCAGACCAAGATACCCAAATTGAGGTTCTTAGGTGAATAGCTAGTCACTGGTTGTCATTCACATGTCTTCTTTGTGTGCTGCCTTAACCTGGAGCTCCTGCTGGGCCACCTAACCTGGCTGACCCTGGTTCCTCACCTCTTTTGCACATTTTCCAGCCCCACTGGACTTCTGGCTAGTAGGAATTCTTCAAAACTTCTGTTTGTGGATGACACACACCACTGTTAGTTTTCAGAACTTTCATGTTTTTAAAACTTTTAAAAGGCAACATTTGGTTGGAAGCAAGGTAGTTACCCCTTCCCAAATAAGGAAATTGCTCTTTTTGCCATATAGAAAATACTTATTTATTCTCTTTTGAGAATTTTTAAGAATTATAATGAAATAGTGGTTTAAGACCTAATTTTTGCTCTGGTCAAAGAACATCATCTCATAAAAGTTGAACACATTTTCATAGTTTATACTTTTAGTACTGAAGATTCTGTTACTGATGTGTTTTAGAGAAACAATGGTTAGAAACACAATTTTTAAACAATGTAAGACTATAAAAAGTCTGACATTCTGTATCATCTGCCTACAGTGCAAAGTACATACTTTAAAGCATTTAAACTATAACAAAATTTAACCACATCTTTATATTGGGGTTTCAGAAAAGCATAGAAAAAATGTCATGACTTTTCCAACAAATCAGTACTTCAATTCAGTCATTCAACAAATACTGAGAATGAATTATGAGTTAGAGCTTTGAAGGATAAAGCATGAATAAGACAGAATCCCTGCACCTAATGAAATTGGCTTAGCAGAGAATAAATATTTGAATCAGCTATTATAGTTTAGCATAATGTACATTTTTACCTTTTTCCCCTCTCAATAAATGCTATTTGAATGAATCCCTGCATCAGCAAGCCCCGTAATTGAAAAATATTATAAAAATGTAATTTTCACAGACACAGATTCTTTGGCTGCTACTCATTTCAGCCCGCGGGTCTCCATGCACCTAACTGCTGGTGAGACCCGGCATCGGGCTTTCGGTCCTGCCATCACGTCCTGACCCCCAAATCATGCCCAATCTAACACCAAAGGCTGTCCATTATACTTTCAACATTTATTTAAATTTGTCTACTTCTCTCTCCATGACCATTTGTTACCCTAAATAACTACCTGATTTTTCTCATCACTTTTTAAAATACAGTCAAATTCCCTAGCACATTGCAAATTTACATAACTTATTTTTTATTTTATTGATGTAACATTCTTTTTACGTATTCATTAGTGTTTCAAGTCTAAGAGTCCCCCCTTGGGTGTGGTCACTGCAGCTCTCCCACCACCAAAGCACCCACAGTCCTCCACCATAGTCCACTGAGCTCTCCCCTACTCTCTTCTTATCCTTTCTCTCCCCTTCCCCATCTGGATGCCTCAGATCCGTGGTCAGTTTTCAAGGGTTGGTTTTAAGTTTTGTCTTTCACCCTTCGTTTGGTTTCTCTAGATTCCACATATCAGTGACACCATCCTGTATTTATCTTTCTCCTTCTAGCTTATTTTACTTAACATAAACCCTTCCGGCTCCATCCGCATTGCTGCAAATAGCTCTAAAAAGGACGACCAAATGGAATCTGAGCAGCCCTTACTCACTGAATACACTGGGTTTCTTTCATTTCTCTATGGCCACTTCCAGACATTTTAAAGTGCTGTGGCCTCTGCCCGAATGATCTCCCCACATTCTTACCCCAAGGGTCTCCCAAAGTTATCTTAAAGAATGAGAAAATCTTTCAATGCCATGTGATCAGGGAGGTTCACATCAAGACTATAAAATGCTCTTGTAGAATGCTCCCCTCTCACTCCTAGTACCTAAAATACTTTCTTCTTATATTTTTAGTTGTGTGGTTATTTGATAAATATAACTGAGCAGGAATCTTCACAATGATGAACAGTGGGAAAAGTGCCAGACTTGTAGAATCTACATATTCCCCAGTAGGGTCTGGGGTTATATTCTACCCGTGCCACTTTACATGACCTCATTCATAGAGACACGTTTGCATTCTTATTATAGCTTAATATTTCAAGGTATAATGGAAAAGTTCCCCTCCGGTTACCAAAAGTAATAACTTTGTTGCATAACGTTCAAAATGCTTCTAAAAGATAAGCCAAAATTTGGTTTCGCAGAAGATTCTGTAGCCTAGTCTTTATCTCCTATTAGTTTTAAGTTTCTCTGTGATGCAAATATTTCACAAAATCAGACAGAATATTCCAATGCAATAATCATCTCTCTGGTTGTTTTATCCTCATTCATGAAAATGCATAATCAGGGCCTCCCTGGTGGCACAAGGGATTTAGACGCAACCTATAAGGCTAACCGCAGCCTCTGCAGCAAAAGTTTGATCCCTGGCCGGCCAGGGAGTGACCCACATGGCGCAGCAGACCTCTCCTGACTCACCCACTGCTCCCCTCAGCAGTGTACTTCAGTCAATCTGCCTGTTCTGTTCCCCACTCTGTCTCTGGCGAATCCTCTCATCTCCCACACCTCTGGCCTGTACCCCAGCTCTTATATGCATAAATAAATAAATCTTTAAAAAAAAAAGACTAGTCCTAAACCAATACGCAAAGAATTAAAAAAATGCAAAATCAAAACACAAAACAATGGTATTCTAAATAGTACCGCCATCAGAGTACTTCATTTCATCACATTTATTAAGAGAGAGCGATATGCCCAGTAGCTTATTCCTTATATCCAAATTCTAGTTATCAAACCTTATGTCTTATTCTTTAAATAGGTGCCTAAGAAACAAAATGGAAGAATTTCAACACAGGAAACCTCATATTTTACTTATGTAGTTCAACTTCCATGAAAGACATTAACTCTGTAAAACAAAACCATCATTGAGTCCAGAGGCAAAAGTTATGACCTTCCCTAGTTACTGCTAATGTTTATTTCACCAGATAAGGGAAAGTGAAAAGGGAGCTGACCTTGTCAGACATTTCCACCACCACTGTCTTTTGTACCAACCAGTTCTGATGAATCTACTCTGATCATTAGTTAGGAAGTAAATAGCCTCATTTGTCATTTACCCTTTCATCAAGCAAGTGGGAAGTAGCTGATTATACAATTTCCAGATGCCAAATTATCTCACATCCAAGAACTGATCTAAATCCACACCCAAAATATATCTTGGATAAATGGACATAGCCTTGACCATGAAGTCAATCTAATACACCTTGATATTAAATTTTCTTAATTCCCCCAACAATGCCATCAATGGTGAGACAACTTGTTCTTCTGTGACGTGACTTTTCAAAGAAATTGACATTCATAAAAACTTTTACTATTATTTTAGAATAGAAAGAAACAAGAACAACAAAATCATATTCATTTGACATTTTCCTGAAGCTGGTGTTAATATTTTACCATTCCCATTTCTCTCCTCTATTCAGACATTGCTTTGAAATAATATCTAGAAAAGTTTAAATAAATAATCCCATACTGAGGTCTTTTTTCCTTTACTAAGAATATTTCATGATTGCTAATATAAGAATTAAAGTAACTATTTGATGAGGTATAAAGGATTATTCATAAAATCTGAATGTTATTTTATTTACAAACTTTCTAGTCCTGTTTTTAGAAGATATAGATTCTCTAATCATCTTTAACACAACGTAGTGTTAGAAATTCCTGCATAAATTCTGGTTCCTATTTTCCCAAACTTAATATATATGTAGCATATATAATAGTATGTATAGTAACATAGCAAACTCCTTATAATACACATGTCAATACATGACATGTAATAGCCTACCATGAGTTGCTGATGGTGTAAATTCCAGATTGTTTACAGTCTATAAAACAGATACTGGGCCCCAGAGACACTTTTTCCCCCTATGAAAATAAATTATTTTACTTTAAAGTAATTCATATGTTAAAAATAATAGCTTCAACAACCCTCAAAGCACATATGACTAAAGAAAACTTCAGTTTAACCCTCAAAATTACTTTCTCAGTATTTGAACGTTACTGATAGAATTTTTAGGTGTATAAATATAAAGACTTTCAAGAAAATTACAAACATTATTTAACTATAAATCAGAATGACTGGAGGATTTTGATCCATAAAATGAATAGCAGTCTTTCCTAGAAAACACACCTAATTTTTTCAATTTTCCAGAAACAAAGCTTCTTTCAGCCAATATCCACAAATATGTTGCATATCATCAGTTCAAATACTTATCATCAGTTCAAATAATTTTTTTTTAAAGATTTATTTATTTATACAAGCATTGGGTACAGTAAGAAGCGCGGGAGGGTGAGAAAATTCACCAGAGCCAGAGCGGGGAGCAGAACAGGCAGACTGACAAAGTACACTGCTGAGGGGAGCAGTGGGCACAGCAGGAGAGGTCTGCGCGCCATTTGGGACCCACGCCAGTGGCCAGGGATCTAACCGGTGCTGCAGAGGCTACAGGCAGCTTTGCAGCCCAGCACTCAACCGTTGCGCCACCAGGGGAGGCCCTCAAATAATTTTTCACTGAATTATAAAATACTCTTTGCTACTACCGGGACATTTCATTTAAGCCATCACCAAATTCTCTGTAAGTTTCCCCAAAACATGAGTGACTTGAATCTGAGAATTCTCCCCTTGTATGGTTAAAGCATTTGAGGAGTCTCATCAGCTCTTTGTAGATTTTTGTGATCAGTCCTTTATTATCAGTGTTGTGTGCAAAAATTTTCTCCCAATCGGTAGGATGTCTCTTTATTTTGGTTACTGTCTCTTTCGTTGTACAGCAGCTCTTTAATTTGATGTAGTCCCAGCTGTTTATCTTTGCCTTCACTATCCCTGCTTTACACAGCTTTATCACTATCACTATTTACAATCGCTAAGCTATGGAAACAACCCAAATGTCCAGAAATGGATGACTGGATCAAGAAGATGTGGTACATATACACAATGGA